CATCGAAATCAAAAACCGATACACAGAATTATGTATCTTAGTGTAGTCTACTTGTGTGCCAAGTTATATTGAAATTAGACCAAAACTGTAGGAGGAGTAGCATTTTGAAAAATTGTTTACAGACACACGGACAGACAGACAGACAGACGGACGGACGCCGGACGCATTACTATTGCATAAGCTCTTCTGGTCTCTGACCAGTAGAGCTAAAAATATATAGACGGTGGGGGGGGGGGGGTTACTGATTATCAAGATGTACAATTATGACTTCCAATGAACAATTTTATATCAAGAATTTCATTTCAAACTAGAGACAGTCCTTTCCTATTTTCTGTTGATCTCCTCTCGACTTTGACCGTTGGTCGATCGTTTACAGCCGACATCAATGCAAGCTACTCCACAATGCTTAGAAAACAAAACGCACAGACTTCTATAGCTAACGTGAATAAACTATGTAAATCATACACATAACATTTCAACTAGTATACTCTTTATTTCTACAAGTCTAGAAAACCATGCCTGTTAGACAAGTACTACTACATTGTACTACTAAATTCTGGGATCTCTTCCCGGAAATTCGTGTTTTTCTTACCTCCTGATTGAAAATCAGGAGGGTTATATAATCGATATGTCCATCCGTCTGTCTGTCTGTTACGCTTTATGGGTACCCGTCTCTTATCCGCATATCCTATTATACCACTGAATGAAATTCAATGAAACTTTCACAGAATCTTAATAAGTTAACATATTGCCATTGTGCACGTTAATTTTACTTTTTGATCCGACACATGTTTTGGCACCCCGAAAGTGTAACAGACGGACGGACACCCAGATCATTATATACCCTCCCACATTTCAAGCGAGGGTAAAAAATCTAAAATCAAAGAAAATTGAAAGAGGCATATCATATAACCCCGAAATAGGGAGTAATTAATATGTTCATAAAAAAGACCCAACATTTATAGCGCCGTCATTTGTTGGAATGTAAGGGGGAGTTCTGTTGATAGCTTGTTCATTCCCAAAAAAAAAAATATATTCCAACTTCATAAACTATACGTTCAATTTTTTTAAGTATTCACCTCATTTCAACTGGATGAATCAAGTTTCGTAGACTAGCGTGTTTGGTACAACCGTTTGTTAAAAAATTATATATTTCTAAAAATATTAAATTATTTCAAACTATCAACGATCTATGTTAAATTGAAAAATAGTTAAAATGGTTTACTGGAATATTGGCAGGATTAAGTAATAGTTTTCGCTTCAGAGAATTTACAGACTTCATTTAACGTAACGTTAAAATCAGTAGCGTCGTGATGACGTCGTTACGTCAAAAGTTGTAATTATTGAAGAAAATGACCATTTTTCCAAACCTCTGGCAGAAAAACGGTATGAGATAATTCCAAAAAAATAAAATGATTTTGAAAGGACACATAGTGGACATGTTTGTAAAAAACTGCAATCAAATTTAGAGACAGGGCCGCCTCGTTATACATACCGTACCCAGTTCTTTGGTTATAAAAATTGTAGTTAAATTTCTCAACCTGTACTTTCTTAATTTTGTTGAATTTTGTTAGTTAAGTGAAAAAAGAAATGCCTTTAAAAGTTAAATACGCTTCATTTAACTATGATGCACGAAGTATTGCGCAATGGAAACTACAGTCGGTCCCCTTAAATTCATATTTTGATTTGATTTACCTCGGAAAATCCTTTCAATAGACACCAGAAAATATGTCAAATTTTTTTCTGGCCGTAACTCATTTATTGATAATATGATATACATTGCAGATTAGATGGTACACCAACATGTTGTCCTTATTATCAGGCACTAGGTACAGATTGTGTGGGTAAGTGTAAAGATTATCATTTTGAAGAAATATATAGATATGATGAAGAAAATGCAAGTATTTCTTGCCGACCTGACACACCTGCTGTGTGCTCCTCTGTAAAAATCGGGAAATAAAGGAAAATCAGTCGGTATTTCCGTGTGTAAATAATAGACTAACAATTCGTACGAAAAACGTCAGTCAGCATTTGACTCGATCACTGATAAATTGTATTTCCTGACATTACATCGACCATACAAAATGATTTTGAACGAGACTGCTGACATTTTCATTTCATCAGCTTGTTTGTAAAATTTACATCTATTTAGAAAAGTGTGTATATGTAGGCTTTTTCGTATCGAATCAACTGAGAGATATAAACCTTGTTTGCAGGTGATGGATGTATATTTCTGTATAAGTGTGGGAAGTTGATGGTTGAAAAGTTAAATTTATCACGTTTATCACAAAAATGTGTTGTTAGATTACCATTCACCCCTTTATCAAGTAAAATACCCAAACATGAAACAGGTGTGTCAGACTCTGTGGTATCTTTTATCTCAAACTCACCGGGATATATAGTATCGACATAAGAATGGAAATTACAATTGTTAATTGACAATACCTCGTCGATACCGGGTATATCTAAATGTCGATTTGAAGGCCACAGCAAGTGTTTTCCTTTTTACGTAATTTTGGACAAATCCTGCTTCATGTGAATGCAAAATTGGGTCTGTTTATATCGGACGCAATTGGTACCCATGGGAATTCAAATACATAGTTGGTAGACCTGGTCTCTAAAAACCACATAAATATTGTCAATCAGAAAATCAAACATCTTTTTGATCTCAACTTCATAGTACTTGTGTGTACAATTATAATGTTTTTTTAACAAAGTAATTTTGCAAATGACCAATGAAAATGTAAATTTACGAGTTCCATAAAAACAGCTGTCAATGATATCAAAAAGTTTGGACTGAAATATATCGTGAGGAATGGTTTTGTATAATGTTGAAGAGTCATGAGTTTTTTAGTTATTGATTTTGGTAAAATCTTGTGATTTCAAATTTTCCAAAAGTTCCTTGTAATTTTCAAGTATTCACATCTGATTAACACCACTTTTCAAATATATTAGTACACAATACTCTTGAAGTTTCTCCTTCACTACGGTTAATTTCTTAGTGAGGAGTAAAGGAAGAGGCTTGGTTGAACATTGAGAAACCGCTATGTATCTTTGTAAGAATTTTTAGTAAACTATGGTATTTTTTGTTAGGGTTAACACAATTAACCCATTTAAACATATGCTTTTGTGTACACAAAATTAGATATTCAAGAATTTCGTATAGAAATTTCCGGAGAAAAGCTTAAAAATGTTGAAGTTGAAAAACTTTTAGGTGTTCAGAAAGATAAAAATCTTCAGTATAATTATCCTACAAGTTATTTACACTTGGTAAAATTAAGAAATTTTTTCATTAAGTACCAGAAATTTTTTTATTATGCATATATTTTGCCTTCAATAAACTATTGTATTACAATTTGGGGTAATGCATCTAAAACTAGCATTGAAAGAATTCGTAAACTTCAGAAACAGGGTGCTAGAATTATTCTTGATGCAGCACCTGACGAACCATCAACACCATTGTTTGAAAAACTAAGATCGCTAAATGTGTTTAAATTAGTCACGTTACATGAGTGTATTTCATTGTACAAAACTTTTTATGGTATGAGCCCTGAATATCTCAGGACCTTTTTGTTTTTCATAGCGAAGACTCCTATTCCTTAGGATTGAATTATAATCTTCGTTTACCAAAACATCGAACAATTGTATTCAGAAATTTTATTCAATATTCAGATGTAAATTTATGGAATAACTTACCATTACATGTGAAATTGTCACCATCGTTACCTTTTTTTAAACGAATTGTAGAAAAAAATATAATTATAGCGAACGTCTGTAAATAAATGTTTGTGTATTTCATTTGTACATGATGTATGATTACTACTATTGTTTTAACAATTAATATTGACTTCTTTATTTTGAGTCTTTATCTCATTTAGTTGTAAATTACATTAAATTATTCATGAATTAAAGAATTTTACATGATTTATCTTTGATTGTACCATTTTATATAATGTTTTGCATTAGAAGGCCCCGGGGAAGAAAAGTGCCTTGTACTTATCGGGTTACCTTCTCTAAATAAAGCATTATTATTAGACTTTTCCGAGTAGCGCTGACTTTTACAGTTGACAGCTTATTTTTACACTAGAACAATGTACAGAAGTCACTTTTACGATAAAATATTTAGCTCAACATATAATTCAACAGAAAATAACGGGTTATTTCTATGCGTAAATCATTTGTCCTTGAAGAAAACCACAGTCATCCTACTCTCAACTCCCGGTCTTCAAAGTTAGTGCCCCTAACAACATTGTTGTTGTTGTAGTAGTAGAAGTAGTAGTTGTAGTAGTAGTAGTAGTAGTAGTAGTAGTTGTTGTTGATGTAGCAGTAGTAGTTGTAGTAGTAGTAGTAGTAGTAGTTGTAGTAGTAGTAGTAGTAGTACTTGTAGTTGTAGTAGTAGTTGTTGTAGCAGTAGTTGTAGTAGTACTAGTTGTCGTAGTAGTAGTAGTAGTAGTAGTAGTAGTAGTAGTAGTAGTAGTAGTAGTTGTTGTTGTAGTAGTAGTAGTTGTAGAAGAATTAGTTGTAGTAGTAGTAGTAGTAGTAGTAGTTGTTGTAGTAGTAGTAGTTGTAGTAGTAGTAGTAGTAGTTGTAGTAGTAGTAGTAGTTGTAGTAGTAGTAGTAGTTGTAGTAGTAGTACTTGTAGTAGTAGTTGTAGTAGTTGAAGTAGTTGTAGTAGTAGTAGTAGTTGTAGTAGTAGTAGTAGTAGTAGTAGTAGTAGTAAAAGTAGTAGTAGTAGTAGTGTTTATAGTATTATTAGTAGTAGAAATGTAAATACTAACACTACTATTACAACACCAACATTAGGTGTACTACCTATGACCAAGAGAAAGGTGTTCTCGTGTAGTAGTAGTAGTAGTTGTATTAGAAGTAGTAGTGTTTGTAGTAGTAGTATTCGTAGTAATGTAAGTACTTACACTACTATTACAAAAAAAAAACACTAACTACTAATAATACTACTTCTACAACTAACTACTAGTAATTTATTATTAATGTATTAGTAGTAGTAGTAGTAGTAGTAGTAGTAATAGTAGTAGTTGTAGTAGTAGTAGTTGTAGTAGTAGTAGTTGTAGTAGTAGTTGTTATAGTAGTAGTTGTAGTAGTAGTAGTAGTAGTAGTAGTAGTAGTAGTTGTAGTAGTAATAGTACTAGTAGTAGTAGTAGTAGTAGTTGTTGTTGTTGTTGTTGTAGTAGTAGTTGTAGTAGTAGTAGTAGTAGTAGTTGTTGTTGTAGTAGTTGTAGTAGTAGTTGTTGTAGTAGTTGTAGTAGTAGTTGTTGTAGTAGTATTAGTAGTAGTAGTAGTAGTAGTTGTTGTTGTAGCAGTAGTAGTTGTAGTAGTAGTAGATGTAGTAGAAGTAGTTGTTGTAGTGTAGTACTTGTAGTTGTAGTAGTAGTTGTTGTAACAGTAGTTGTAGTAGTAGTATTTGTAGTAGTAGTAGTTGTTGTTGTAGTAGTAGTAGTAGTAGTAGTAGTAGTAGTAGTTGTTGTTGTTGTAGTAGTAGTTGTTGTAGTAGTAGTAGTATAAGTTGTAGTAGTAGTAGTTGTAGGAGTAGTAGTTGTAATAGTAGTAGTAGTAGTTCTAGTAGAAGTAGTAGTAGTTGTAGTAGTAGTAGTAGTAGTAGTTGTAGTAGTAGTAGTAGTAGTAGTAGTAGTAGTAGTAGTAGTAGTAGTAGTAGTAGTAGTAGTAGTAGTAGTAGTAGTAGTAGTAGTAGTAGTAGTGTTTATAGTATTATTAGTAGTAGAAATGTAAACGATATATTGTAACGATAAAATTTTACCGTATTCTGTATGGTAATGCAAAACAAGACAATGCACAATTTTAAAAACATGTTGGTTTTTTTCGAATAATTATTATTTTATGCATTAACTTCACTCAAAAACGAATTTTTGATTAAGCGGTCATTTTTAGCGGTCATTAAAAATAATGACCGGGTCATTAACCCCACGTGCAAAGATTCCTAGGTCAGTATTGCTGTAAACAGTACCATTTGGAGTCATTGTTGTGTTTAAAATGTTCTTACCAGCCAATCAAATTCGAGTATTTTCAATAGAGGTATAATAATTATTTTTAATAATCCTTAAAAAGATACAACGTATTCAGTTTAAATGGTTTTTAAAAACGGAATTTAAAGGTTTTTTTCTCAAATAAATTTATACAATTTTAAAAGTATAGGCAATGGAAAGAGACGTTATGTTTCTCCATCTACTACATGTATGTATGATCGACTTTACTTCTCAGATGTCGTGCTAATTGAACTCTCATAAAGTGACAAAGTAATCTATGAGTATTATAAGTATTTTTCACTTGGAGAGTTATGGCTCTTAATTATCAGAAGGTCGATATCCTTTGATGACCTAGGTATATTACTTCCTTCATCCAAGTGTAAAATAATCTACTTTTAACTATATTTAAAATGTTATCTTATTTTAACAGAGTGTCCAGTGGGATACTTTGGTGAAAACTGCAATATCTCCTGTCGGTCTCCAGCATATGGTAGAAGATGTCAGAGCAGGTGTAAATGTTCTGAGAAAGACTGTCATAATGTAATAGGATGTAATTGGAGAAGTAAGTCTCATTTAATTTCCTCATTGTTTCTTCGGGTTTTTTTTTTTTTAAATTTATGGAGTGTGAGATAAAGTCTTTGGTATTGAATATGTATTCAGCTTTTAAGGTAGATTCTTCTCATATTTCTTGTATTCAAAAATTAATGAAATTTCACAGAATCAATAAGACAATATCACTAAGTGATGGTATCCGTGAGATAAAATTTGAATGTTTTATATTAGAGGCAAGGTCAGGTCAAGGTCATTACCTTTTTCTTGGACATTATTAATAAATAAAATACTGTTGCCAGTAATGCGATCCCTACTTGTATTACAAAAGATTGAATATTGTTCTTACTGCATAAAATAATACTACCATATAGAGCCTATAACATGATACATGTATTACCAAGTTGACAAAAATAATTTAACTAGAATAGATATTGGCTAATCCGAATTTTCTCTACTTTCCTTTAATTTTTAGGATATATATTAGTTATTTTTATATGATTCCTATATTTGAATTTTTCTCATTTTCACAAGTTGTCACATTAAGATACAAAATTATACAAAAACAAAGTTTCGATCGTTTACTAAGAGACATAAAATACTTTTATTGATTTCTGGCTCAAATATGTACTCAGATTAGAAGTTTATAAAGCTTACACAGTTTTAATTTGTTTGAAATTTATATTGTTTTATAATTTAGGAACTTTAGTCCCTTATTAATAATTAAACTTACATTTGAATATTTCTTGAAGTCTTTAATTGTGTAGAAAATACTACTAAACCAAATGTTCTATAATAATTTTTATAGGCAAAAAAACAAGCACGTAGCAACAGGGGGGGGGCATCTCCCCCACCCCCCACTTTTTTCCCCAACATTACCTTTACTATAGGATTTTCGAGTTTGGGCAATTTTCAAAAAAGATTTCTTAGGTTGCCCCCCCCCCCCCCACTTTCAAAAACGATGCTACGTGCCTGAAAAGATATTTTCATACGCCACCATTCCGCCAAAAATATAGTCCCTGCTAGATTTCAAACGTTATTCACCATTTCTATTTAGAATTGTACATTGTGTCTAGGAAAGAAAAATATCATCTTTAAAATACCTTACACCTAAATATATAAGGCATATAAGCAAATGTCGATATATTGCTTGGAAACGAAAGTGTTACAGACAAACAGAAATACAGACGTATGGAGGGACCGACCGAAATTAATATTCTTCCAGCTTATGAACGAGGAGGACAAAAAGTGAATCGATCTCCAAAAAACTATATTTTTGGTTCTAATCGTCTATTATCAAAAACATACAAATATGATATTATTGCAGCAGACTTTATTCTTTACTGTCATATTGTTACAATCTTTAAAAATTGTTGACATTAATGAATTACGTACAATACATCCAGTCTTCCAAAATGTCCAATTGTTTGTTCCACGAGCGACTTTCTAAAATCTCTCGAAGTTAAGTCACCAATGGAGAGTAAAACCTGTATGGAATAAGTACGTAGAAAATAGAAAAAGGGTAGCGTAACGCGGAATTTAACACAAACACCCTTTGGTATACGGATATTACCTCTGTTTAAAGCTGCTATGTGAAGGACGGAAACAAGGGAAAAGTATGTTTTGTAATAACTAATTTTTGTGATATAATAATGTTTATGCCTCCTATGAGAAATATCAGCCTGATAGAGCAGTTAAAACCAACCAAACACAGATATGCAGATTTGTCGAAATTAAATGACATAAAGTAAGCTAAACATAAAGGTATCATTAAAGGGGATATTATATAACATCTAAACAATACTCAATACACTACACACGGAAAGGTTCTAGTGTGACCCCCTGAGACTGATGACAAATTTACACGCCGTGAAAATATCATATTACATGTAAATGTGCATAAAATATAACATAAATGAGTTAATCCATGGAGGCGTCCAAACAACTGCGCCAGTCCAAGAAACTATAGGTTATTAGAAAAATACAAATTTTGACTAGAATGCAAAATAATGCAAAACAAAAACCCAAAAAGGGTGGGTGGTGGTTTTTTTCCACCGCACTACCAGGCTGACAAAAATGGCGCAAAAACAAGGATTTAGACTGGGTTATAATAAACCATAAAAAGTACGATAACTCTTTCAAGAAAACCAAGGGTTGCGATTTCGCAATGAAAGGTTAATAATTGCGTCTGCGATAAATGCACATATCCGACAGACTGCGCTGGGTTATGGGGGATTATCCACAGGTGTAAAATTTAACAATTCTCATAGTGGCATAATTATCTGTGATAAAATTGTTTTATGCCTCCTATGAAAAATATCAGCCTGATAGAGCAGTAAAAACATCAAACACAGATATGCAGTTTTGTCGATTATGTCATTTAATTGAATGACATAAAGTAAAATGTATAACAAATCATTAAGGGGGGTCGCCTAATATTAATCAATACAGGATACATGTACATAAGTGAAAGGTACAAGTGTAATCTCACTGATACTGACTAGAAATTTACATGCAATGAAAATATCCGATTACATGTAAATATGCATAAAATATAACATAAATGAGTTAATCCTTGGAGGTGTCCAAACAATTGCTCCACAAGCCCTCAAGCAGTGAGGGGTAGACGCCAAAAAAGGGAAAATATCCAAAGAAAACAGTTTTATCAAAACAGTCAATGACAGAAATTTACAGTATTTTTTTTACAATATTTTTTCTTGTTGCATATAGCAATACTAAAATTTACATATGATGTTACATGTTTTTAAGACTAGGTGTTTGATATATAACAAATACTGATGAAATAAAGTCATTAACATTCAACTGTCAGCTGTTCAAGTGTGGATTAAGGGAAAAACAAAATTACTGCAAAGAATGTTTTGTACATTTGTAAATTTATAAAGGTAATTATCTTAGCTCAAGTCAATGTAGGATGACTTCTAAATAAAATTTTTAAATATAGCTATCCGCTGAAGTAATGTATTTTAACTCACGTCAATGCAGGCAGACTTTGACATGCAATTTATATGAACAGCTATCCGCTGAACTCTTTATCTTAATTTCAATGCAGGCAGATTTAAGCATACAATTTACATGAGCAGCTATCCGCTGAACTCATGTATAATAACTCACGTCAATGCAGGCAGACTTTAACATGCAATTTACATGAGCAGCTATCCGCTGAACTCATGTATATTAACTCACGTCAATCAGGAGACATTAACATGCAATTAATATGAGCAGCTATCCGCTGAACTCATGTATCTTAAGTCACGTCAATGCAGGCAGACTTTGACATGCAATTTATATGAACAGCTATCCGCTGAACTCATGTATCTTAACTCATGTCAATACAAGCAGATTTAAGCATACAATTTACATGAGCATCTATCCGCTGAACTCATGTATATTAACTCACGTCAATGCAGGCAGACTTTAACATGCAATTTATATGAGCAGCTATCCGCTAATATGTATCTTAACTCATGTCAATGCAGGCAGATGTAAGCATACAGTTTACATGAGCAGCCATTCCTCTAATCTCATGTACTTAACTCAAGTCTATGCATGCAGATTTTATCATACAATTTACATGAGGGAACATGCACCTTAGCTAAGACTATGCAGGCAGATTTTAACATACAATTTACACGAGTAGACATCGGCTAATCATGAACTTAACTCAACAGTTGTTTTTTCCCAAATTGGAAGGCCCATGCCCTTGTTTTTAAGACCTAAAAAATACCGGAACTGGACCACCAGATTTGAAGGTGTATAAAGGGCCAGATGATATGTGAGTTAATATTGAAACTTGAAGGGACAAGGGACAATTCATGTTCTGTCAAAGTAATTATCATCCCCTGCCTATTGATCAAATTTGGATACCGAGTGTGATCTGCGTTCAATTTTGATTGTTCACCCAAGTGCATGAAAGATAAATGACAAGTTTGAAAAGTGTTGACAAAAAATCATATCAGCTTGAAACCTGTGACATAAAACAAGTGTTGAAAAATCGGATCAAATTAACAAACGATTATCTAATTGAATCGATAGGATTGAATTTATTACATGTTTATGATCGATAATTTGAATTTATATTAATAAAAAATTAACCAATAAATTTTCAGATATCTTTGAAATGAAAAAAATTTAATACAAATATGTCAGACCGACATAGCCAAAAATGTTATTTGTTCATATTATTTTTTTCTTATTTATCAATATTTTTTTCTGTTAATGTACATGTACAGTCTCACATATTGATACATACTATATAAATAGTAATCAAATTTCCAGTTAAAAGCAATCATTTTCACTTTTTGTTCCATTTTTACTTTGGATGGTTATAGTTAAATACCGGGTCTATGTTTCTGATATACTTGAAATATTATGTTACTTGTTTACATTTCATACCATTAATGTTGATACTGCACATCTACTGTATTGTATTTAAGCAGTATGTGGTGTAGTGTAAAAGAGACAAGGACGAGTAAAGGGGGAATTTTACCATGTATTAAGTTATTGGAACTGCCAAAAGACCTTAATTAACTGACGAAGCTACAAGTATTTTCATCATAATATTCATCGGGCCCTCCCCATTAAAACTCCCAATATCCCTGACAGTATAGCATTCTTTAAGCAAATTGGCAAAATTTTGTGGATAATTTCTGTGTATAGGGACATAGATATTAATTACATCAGATATTTGTTGTGTGACAGCGAGTTAAAGTAATTTTTTTTTAATTTAGAGTTATATAAGTCACAACTGGTGACAGATCACCTTCTGGAGAAATGATAATCATATTTTGCCATCAAAAATAGTATCTCATAGAAGCTTGAGCATTCTGAGTGTGTTGCTTGCCCTTCCTGGTGGTTGTGGATCTGCAACAAATTCCCTTTCCTTATTCTTTGGTGTCACCATTTTCCAATAGCTTATTAAGACACTGGCATATGTCATGGCACCTAGTAATAAGTATGATTAAATATAATCACCGGGACTGCCTTGCATAAATT